CCATCTCGTGTGAGTGCGGGTGTTCAAGCCCGTCTGACAGCAGGTACTTCACCCAGAGCTCATCGTGAATTTCAGTTCGGTGTATGTATCTGAGGGCAATAACCACCGAAAGCGCATTGGCGTAGTCTAACCCGAGGAAACCGGCGCGCATACCGTAAGTGGACCGCGCCGCCTGCCGCTCATGTAATGGCATCGATAAAACATCCTGCTCAACTTCCCACGTCAAGAGATCCATATGAAAGCGTGAAAAGATGGATTGATCGCAATACCATCCTCTCTGGATTCTAGAGGTTGGTTTGAGGATTTCTGTTAACTTTTTAACCTTCTCTAGGTATTCCATGTACGCCCACACACGAGCAATTACAATACCCATGTTGGGATGGCGATATGGGGATTGGTCAAAAGTCAAGGCGAGTTTATGTTCCTGGTGTACGGCCGCGTGCTCACGAACCTTTTTATAAACCGCTTCATACCCAATTGCACAATCCCAATGGTCATAGTATAAATTCGGTGCCCAGCAACAATCCTCTGCGAGCGCTACGATCGGTGCCATCGCACGGCCCTGCCGCACGGTCAGCGCGTCCAGCTCCTCTGGCGCCGCGGCGGACTGGGCGATGAAGGAATCGAGAAAAGCTTGAATGTCTGCACCCGTAAAAACCGTGTCGGAATCCATTAAAATGGCAACATCATCCGGATTCAGCTGCGCATTCTCGATGGCCCTTTCCATGAAATCGAACTTGGATAGAAACCCTTTGTACTTCATCTGATAGCCGGCTACCACTACGGGAAGCCCGCTTAGGTAGGCTGAGCCCACTGAATAGCAAAGGGTATTATCAATTTTATCACTCATAATGAAGATGACGACACGAGGCCCAGTGGCTCGAACAAAGATATCCGGCATTTCATCATTGGAAAGTGCAAAGGGTTCAGAGGAGATTTGAATCGAGTCACCAACGTAAAATAGACAAAGGAGTGTAAAAAACATGCCGACGTACCAAACGGCAAGCGACCGCCTGGAACGAGCCCTAGAAATATCACTTCCCCATAGCCTTTGTAGAGAGGGTTTTAATGATGCCATTGTTTTAGTCAACTTTTTTAGTCAGGCCTTTAGAAGCAATTATTTGTTTCTAAATAAAGTGAACACAAAGTGAGTTATCGCGGTATCTATATAAATTCAAATGGAAAAGAAAAGAAAAAGGAAATAAGAATAGAAGATAGAGTACAAGTTCTAAAAATAGTCTGTGCATCGTCACGCATTTTGATTTTTATCTTATCGCTTCTCAGCTGTATATAATGCTTGTCAGTAAGTTCCTCCTACTTGGTGCCACGTGCCGCAGCACCTCAAAGAGATCCTGAAGTGACATACTCACGAAAAGATAAAAAAAAGGGGCGAACCGCGGAGGCTAAAAAAGGGTGAAGCGAATTCAGCCCAAGAGCATGAAAGAAGATCTAGTTGCACGATTGAGAAACTTGAAAAGGGTTCAAAGTGTGTACCGGTCCAACTAAACGCATCGCGATCTTTTCATCCTTTAGGCGCCTCTTCTGTGAAATTACCCCTTCTTCACAAGCAGCCCAGACGCTTCACAGAATTAAAAAACTTCACGTAAATTCAATGCACGCATCTTAGTTTCGCACCTTAAGCTGAGTTCTTCGAGTAGAAGAAATCAACATTCTCTGGGTGACATCGTGAAGTACGCGTTCCAGTACACTGCGGCGGCCCTTTGTACGAACCTTATTCGAAACGACTAGGATGTCCTAGTTGTTTTTAGGTGGATCCTTTTGTGTATTGCAGTGTTGCTCCTACATGAATAAAGACATGCACACTTGAGAGAGGAAACGCATGAGGTTCTATTTTAAGCTTTTGGAGAAATCTAACACATAAATTGCTTCTCAGGTAGCTTTGATTTGCAGGAAAACACGGCAGCTCTTTTATCCAACTCCCACATGGTTGAGAAAGATTACTGGTATCGCTTCAAAATATAAAACGCTATTGAATTCCTTACGCTATTTGTCCAAGTTTATTTACTATATTAAGACTTGATGGATGCTGCATGTAAAAGACAACATTCAACCCTTTTTATCGTTAATAAAATACGGTATAG